GCCGCACCTCCACCCGGCCTGCGCAGCGGCTCGGCCCGCCCGCCAGGCGCAGGGCCGGGGCTGCGGGGGCGACAGGGGCGGGCAGGGGCGGACGGTCAGGGTCCAGTTCTGTCGCGGACGCCGCTGGGGCCTTCCTTGCTATTGGCAGTGGGACAACTAGGGCCGAAATGGGCTCCATTTCTCGTTTTGTGTTTCTCTCTCTCTCTCCCTCTCCCACCCCACCCCCACCTCTTTTAAGGTAAAGCCTCAGTTAATTGAAGCCCTCAAGGAATGGCCGTGATGGGCAAGCCTAAGTTACTAGACACCTAAGAATTTAATCCTTAAACAAAAATACAAAAGAAAGGGAGGAAACAAAGCAAACAGGCACAAATCCCACTAACCAGCCCTCAAATCTTTGGAAGACAATTGTCCCAAGATGAGGCAGTGCTCTAACTCATCAAACAAAATCAAAGGGAACTGCAAAAAGGTCACAGAATGATTCGTATCGTCTTCTAATTCCATTTTTCCATGAACTTTTCCAAATACCCTCGTATATCCAATGAAATTACTTTTGATGAATAACAACCCATATTTTAAGTATAAAGACTATATTACATAACCTAGCTATTCAAATCCTACGTATTTACTCAATATGAATGAAAGCACATATTCACAGATAGATGTGTAGATAGCAGAATTGTCCACAGTAGCCCCAAACTGGAAACAACCCAAGTGTGCATTCACAGGAGAATGGAAAAATTGTGGTATAGCCACACAATGGAATATTACTAAGCAATAAAAAGGAACAAATCACCAATAAATGGAACCACATGGGTAAATCTCAAAAATGATAAGTTAAGTAAAAGAAGTGAGACACAAAAGAGCATACATTATTTGATTCTATTTCTATGAGAGTCTAGAAAAACTAACCTATAGTGACAGCAGATCAGTTGTGGTCAGGGGAGGTGGCAGAGATTTATTGCAAAGGGGTTGTGGAAAGAAATGCTGTATATCTTGATTGTGGGGTGCCTGTACAATTGCATACATTGGATAAAACTCATAGATGTGTGCAATTTATTGTATATAAATTATACTCCAAAAAAGTTAATTTAAAAAGTAAAAATGATAACAAATAGAACCTATATTATGTTGGTGGTGCCATACCCATAGCCATGTGTAAAATGATTTGTCTTTGTGTTAATTGGTCTGTAGTGACTGTATCTTTCAATTTCCTGCTGTGTTTGATACAATGACGACGCTTAGAGAATATTAGTAAACACCACCGGCTTCAGTTTCTCTGTGAGTGCAGTATGCCGGTCTAGGACGGTTGTTCTCTCCTTGTCTAATTGTTGCTGTGGTATTGGAAGCAAGATAAAGTGTGCTTGTTTGAACTATGAATAAGGGGAAATATCTTCTGAGTGAAGTTTTGGAAGGTGAATTTTGGGCTTCTGGCCCAAAAAGTGGGTGTATATGTGTCTGCACATATATACCTACAAGCTCATAAAATTTTTCTGTAGAGTAGGAAATTTAAATGAAAAATAAATATGATCCTAACAATATTAATAGAGATAAGCAATTTAGTGCTTACAAACAAACAAAAATTACCAGATAAAGGAACCATATCTTCATCAGCTGAAATTGTAACTGTAAATAAGAAAAAATAAGCTTTAAAAATGCCTGTCCTCCAAGTCACATATTTATATCCATTCACATCCAAATGTTTTCTCTAGTTTCAGACAATATTTTTGTTTAAGTTTCTACTTTGGTTGGGGGCAGAAATACTGTCCATTAAGTTTTAATTCTTGGCATCAAAATGTAAAAAGTGGTGTTGTACCCTGTTTATTCTCCAGAAATAAAATAATTTATTAAATGGTCAGAAAAGAAGCTGTATAAATATATTGAATTTTTGAGAAGGAGAATAAAAGATCATTAGATTTTGTAGAAAACATTTTTATAGGAGCTGAAAACTAAGCAATGAAAATCAAGTCATATTTCTCAGAAATATTTTTAGATTAAAGAAAGATCATATCTGAGAGGTGTAATTCTATATTAAAATACACTGAGAAAAGGCAGGTAGGAAAATTAACAATGGACTTTATGGTAGAATATGGTAGCATAAATTAGAAAACTAAGCGTGCATTTAGCAAAAGGAATATGATCATTACCCGGTAATGGTGTCGCTTTCGTTGAAATTGAATCTGTGGCTGCCAAAAAAGAAAAAAAAAAACAACTGTAGTGAAAAGACAGTATGACAATCTGGTTTGAGATTTTTAGCCTGTTTCATAAGTGGTCTGCAATAGAAATCTACCCTGCTCACTTATCTTGTTGATTTACACACTAGGCGTGAAATGGTGTATGAGAAGTTGGCATTTTGGAAGACAGGTCAACAATTCTCACTTTGAGCATCTACCATGTGACAGATAATTTACATCTCTAATCCTTACAACTGTGTCAGGTGAGTGTTCTCACTATTAGAGACGAGGAAATGGAGATTCCGAGGGGTAGAATAACATGCCCATGACATCCGCGGTTCAAACCCGTGAGGCCCCAAAGTGCGTACTCTTTCTACGCACTCTGCCTTGTATGAGTATAAGATGTGGGAGTCACAGTCACTCTGGGCTCAGTGCAGTGAGTCAGGGATAAGGGGGAAGGAACGTAAGGTTTTTTTTTTTTTTTCCTTTTTGTCTTTTTTCGTGTCCGGCAACGGATCACAACCCTCAGTGTCGCGCCCATACCGGACCGGGACCGGCAATGGGATCGCAACCCTCCGCGTTGCTCCCACACCTCGCTCAGCCAGTAAGCGGGAACCGGTCTGTATGTGGGATCCGAACCCTCGGTGGGAGCGCCACCGCACTCCTAGGTGGTGCACTGTAGCAGTGCGCCACCGGGCCGGCCCAGGAACGTAAGGTTTAATGGCCACCATGCCTGTGCTCACACTCCAAGAGGCACTTCCTGCAGAAACAGGAACTGACTTTGGTGTCAGAAAAAAAGTGACACATGTGAGTGCCACCTAATCTGTGTAAAAAGAAACCCAGTTGCCATCAGCCAGGCCTACAAAGAAAAGCTTGCTCACGTGATGTCAGCAGCCAGTGAGAACTGCAAGTGAAGGCGTCTTCTGACAAAAGTGGAGTCATGGCAGGGGCAGGGAAGTAAGGAGATGAAGGGTGGAGGAAGAAGGGAAGGAAGGAAGGAGGAAAAGCCACACTTAAATGTAAATAAGAAGAAAGTACTAAACCTTGGTTTCATTGAGTTTTACTCCTGTAAGTCTTCAAAGTAAATAGGACTTGAAAAAATAAAATAAAACAAAATAGAAGGAACATCAGAGCCTTGTTCCTGTGGACGTCAGCACCACGGGGATGTGAGGGAATCGCACAGATGGATTTATCAGCAAAGTCTGAGAGCAGGAAGGACCTTGGATGGGAGTCGGGAGACCTGGCCTGGCCTTGCCCTAGCTCTGGGACCTTAGGCAAGTCTCGTTCTTCTCTGGGCCTCATTTTCCTCCAGAATGAGGGCAGTGATTGAGTGCCCTACTCCTCCGGTGTGGCCTGTGACCAGCAGCGTTGGCATCACCTGGGAGCCTGTCGGAAATGCAGAATTGAGCTCCACGTGGAGCCTTATTAACCCTGCATTTTAACAAGTTCTTCGGGAGATTCACAGGCATGTTAACATCTGAGAATCTCTGGTCTAGATCATCTCGAAGGTCTCCCTCTGGGTTGACATTTGAGGCTATTCTATCCTATCCCTCCTGTCTCCAGCATGCACCTTCATGGTGTTCGGTTTTATAATCAGAGACGGAGTGGCTGGCCTCCCCTGCCCTCTCCTTTCCTCAGAGAAGCAGGTAGTGTTTATTCTGGGTGTGTGAACTCTTCCTGGGCTGGGGGTTCTCAGAAAATCGCTCGGCAGGGCTGCTGCAAGGATCAGAGAGGTTACCTGGTGGAGAAGGCGCTTCATCTGAGGTGGGAGTTGTATCTGCAAATGAACAAGAATGTTTTGGTTTGGGCAACTGCATGGTAAAGAGTGAACGGGGAACTAACACTAAATCCAGTTCTCTCCTATGTTTGTTCCAGTGTGTCGGCTGGGTCAAAGCATCACCTAAGACGTGACACCCGGGGCCAACCAGGTGAGTTGTGGACTCCAGCCCTGGCTTCCTTTGGGCACCTCTGATGGAGACCAGTGCCACGAGCAGGTGTTCCCTAGTGGAGGGGCCGCTTCTGTGTCTGAGAATGAATGGAGAGAGCATGAAGCTCAGTTCCTGGGAAGTGATGCTGGGTTTGTGTTTGCACTGGGGCTTATGCCCTAGATGAAATGTTCAGTAGCATCTGCCAAGTAGAGAGAGGAAAAGTTGATCATATTTAACTTCAGAAATGTGACCAGCAGAATACATTACCAGAGGGAGTGTCCATTTCTGCTGAGGTTGAAGATTTATCTGGGTACAAACAAAGAGAATAGGACACTTAAAAAGGGGTGGAAGGATGCTGGGTGTGACTTTCCATCGAGGTTCACTTTGTGGTCAAAATGGTCATTAAGTAGCTCATTTTCTAAATAGAACATGACAAATAAGAAGCCGCTCTCATTAATGAGTAAGTGGATGAATGAACTTTTTCGGTGGTTGGCTGGTACAGATTCAAACCCCGGACCTTGGTGTAATCGGCACCACATTCTAACAAACTCAGCTAACTGGCCAGGCCTCATTAATTTAAACAGAACAATGAGAGAGACTTTACCAGATGGAGAGGTCACTTCTGCTGAGGTTGAAGAGAGATCTATAGATAAAGGGAAGAAGGGACTTAAATACCAGTGGAGGACGCTCCTGAGTTTCACAAAACAACCTAGTTTGATAAATGGAATCCCAAGAAGAGGCACTTAATGGGACAGCAGACAGAGTGCTCTACCTGGTATGAAGGTCACAGCAGTTGAGACTGAAGCTGAAGGTGAACAAAAATGACAAGGAAGCAATGAGACAGTCACATCAGGCACACATGCCTCTATAAGACACGGAGGACCTTCAGGTGGCGTCACAGATCAGGTGGCTGTCTCCTTGCTCTCCAGACAGATGCTGTGCTGGGATCTCCAGGCCCCCCACTGCCTCCAGGCCTCCCCTCCACTCCCGGGGTCTCTGTCCCTCTTGCCCACCCTTTTCTTCTTCCCAAGGAGGTGCA